CATCTCCCACGGAGTACTGCTTCGTAGTGCAATGGATTTGCTTTTGATGTGGACACTGTAACTTGTTTAACAGTGCTTGAAATGCCATGTACGGCAGAACACCCGGTGTGCCGTGGAAAGTAGTGACACACACACACACACACATCACCAGGCTACAAGTTAGCAGCAAGTTTGGTCTTTGATGCCGTGACAGCTGAAGTGATCGCTTTGGAACTGTCGGCTATGAAGCTTACATCTGCTTCAGGCAGTCGGCAACTTGCTTGGCCAAGATTTGGTACGAACTGGGAGAGCAAAATCCTGCGGACCAGGAAACTCTGAGAAGTTCATGGACAAAGATCTTCAAAACTGGAACAAAACAAAACAGCCAAGCTTGCAACATGTCCCAACCCCCCTGGTTGGCCGGTCTTAACTCAATTGGCTTCGAACCTCCAAAAGATCCACCTGTTCACAAAAAAACGCGACTTTCAGGGATCGTTTGCTGTGAACATGTGTCTTCTCTCGCTCCATGGAAAGCTCCGTTCGCCGAAACCACCGGCTGGGAGACCGGCCCACTGGGCAGGATGCTGGGGACCGGTTGGTGGTGGAAGCAACCAAGGGATACGGGGTCAACGGTCACCAGTGGTCTTTGGAAGATCTTTGGGAGATAACTGACTTAACTGTCAAAATGACCACTTGGATCCAACAAGTGCTTGGCCAAAGGCAGGGTGGAACCTGCAAGTACACTGAAACATACCAATCAAACCACCTTCTCCAGGTATGTATCTAGATGTGGAGATACAGAAGCTATTTCATCACCTTCTGTTGATTGCTCACCTGTGCAAACCGGACACAGGTCTAGCCAGGCTTCAGAATCTTGTGCTACAAGCCAGAAACATGGCCCAAAGGCGAAGTCCTCTAACTCCTGCCTCGCGCGCCTTTTTGAAGCACCTGCTGCTCGAGCACATGCCTGTCTCAGCAAGATCTCACTTAGTGAGGAACTGCCATTCAGTGTGACCTCTGCGGTGATGCTGGCTGTAAATGCAAAGATTTTTTGTTGTAAACTCAACCAGAGGTATTACATTGCAGTCTTTTGCACGTCGTTTTATTGATAACATGAATCAATCCGCGTGGAGTCAAACATTTGTTTGTATTACTTTGCTCTGTCCAACTCAGCTTCATTATGATTCTGATGTTCTTGAATGTTAAGTAGCCCCCCCAAACCCATGAAGTTGAATGACTTTCGCCCAATGAAATCCCCCACACTCTATCCAATTTGGTGGGTCAAATCACACCGAACTTCCTCAACACACGACCCCAAAACCTTCATCTGACTGGTACTTAGTAGGGAATGAAGTGCTCCATCAATTCCTCATTCCCTGCTTTCTTCACACAAGTCAGTCATGGGTATAGGACTATAACTAGGACTATTTATAATTGGAAGTCCATTTACAATTGAGTCAATCCTCGTCAATCCTCAATGACCCCAACACCCAAGTCTCCTCGTCGGAGTCGATCGGAGAAACCGGATTTTGAGAGGCCCCAAATCAGCGTCTCATGGCTGCTCCTTGGGAGAAATGACCCAAACAACTGGTTTGCCGCTGTCAGGGTAGTTAATCACAATTATGGCTGCACCATGTGACTTTCTTTGCCTTCCGGCATGGTAGCCTTCCTTTTGAATGAAATTCCAACGTCTCACATTCCAACCCGTCTTCTTCACAGCCAATCTTGCCCACCGGAGGATTTCGACGACTCTGCGCCGATTATAAAAAGACTTCTGCGAATCAAGAGACCCTGGGACGCCCTTCAGGCGATAAATTTCAGGTACACTCCGACCTAACTGCAGTGGCAGCCGTGGCATTCGAACGGCACTCATCGGCCTACATCGGTGATTGACATGGCTCTGTTTTCCACTGAACAACCATGTCTTTGTAAGTCGGAGTGTAAACCACGGCGGCCAAAAAACAGTCTACCTCTGAGTCTGGACAGTCTGGAGTCATTGTGGTCACTGAGTGTTCCCTTGAAAAAGATCGACATCGACAATGTGTCATATTGTGTCATCCAGCGCACGATGGGTCGAGTTTTCTCACAGTGGATCGCTGGGATGGAACTGTTTGCGAGGCACCAGGCTGTGATGCTGGTTTTGGAACCAACATGCAAAGGCTTTATAGTGCACATGCTGCGTAATCCATCTGTAAGAGGCTTCACACCTCTACTTTGATAACGCATAGACTTGGTAGGTGGATGGTGGATAGTAACCTCTCTAAGCTTTGCTAAGTAATGTACCCGTTTAAATAGGCCTAGATGGTGATGTGCCCATCCATGTAGTCAATCTGCCACGAGCTTCCAATGATAAACTCTCCAAAAGAACAGCTGCTTCGGCTTCGCAACCTCCACAAAAAGAATCAAATGAACAACACATTGGACATGTTTGCAGCATGTAATGATGTCCAACATCCATACCAGTGCTCAGGACATTGATCATTACATGCTCAGGACATATCAAAGGGTTCCATATCAATGACCAATCGCGTCTCTCAGGACTTCAAAGGGTCCCAAATGGGCCGTATACCATGGCCGAGGCCGAGCCCCGGGGAACAACACACTTTTCCGGTGACACATCGGACCTGGCCGACCTTCCATTCGACTCTGCTTTTGGGGTGAAGAAAAACCGTGGTTGAAGCTTTTGGGGGTGGAGTATGGTTGAGTAGTAAAGGGACATTAGAAGGGTCCAAGAGTATACCAAAAGGAATGGTGAATAGGGAAACCCTACGGGAACGATCTGTCCCCAGCTTTCCAGAGCCAGTCCGCCGCAGTCGTTTAGGACTTCATGGCTTAAATAATTTGACGCATCAAAGGCTGGAAAATTGTGCTGGGCATGTGAAAGGTAGGCCTCTTCCATGCAGCAGGTGAGGTTGTCTAAAAAGTCTAGCTCTATCTTTCTGTATACCACCTTTTGTTGACCATATCGTTCTGCTGTGCTTTAACTAACTGCAACATGTGCGTGCACTGCATGCAATTGTGTTGTGTGGAAATGGCAACAGTGACTCCATAAGGCAGTTCATTTCAGACTACCACAGCTAGTACATATGTGGGCCATTATGTACGAGTGTACGGAAAAGCGTTGAGTGAACCTCTACGTTTTTTGGTGTCTGGCACAAAATATAACATGGATGTCTATGCACAAACAAAGGTCACTCCTCGTTGTCTTTTGTGGGAGACAAACCTGAGAGGAAGGGTTGTCCATCTGCAGGGTTATCTGTATATGTTCTTCCTTGTCGTTTTGCAATGTATGGAGCATCCTCCTGACAAAATGGACATATAAAGATTACCTTTTTGTTTAATACTTTCTCAGGTGGATGTTTGTACGTGTGAAGTGCAGCTTGTTGCTTCGGCTTCTCCCAAGATGAACTCATATCAAGAAAACCAGCTCAACATCACACTCTTCTATGCCCCAGTAGGGCCAAGTCTAAGTTGAGCCAATTATCAACTTCTGAACAGTTAGAAGTACTAAGCAATGCTCATGGACTCTCATCTTGAGGATGCCAACTCCCAACACTCAAGTTCAGAAAGCCCGACATATAATAAGGTAGTCAAAAGGTGGTCACTCCTTTTTGAGTGGATGACGCACCATTTTCCACAGCTGCGTTATGTGTTTTTCTCAATTTCTTCCCCAACACCTCCCGGTTTCCGACAAATCAGACGAAGCATCACGTCCGAGCCACCTTCTCCGAAGGCGCAAAGGCTCGCAATGGAAGGCGCTCACCGTTTCACTCGGTCCGACCTTGTCGGAGACCGCCCCGCAGAGTTCGACGCGCCGCGGCGCACGCGCCCGCGCCGCGGTGCATGGCGCATGGCCCGGTGCCTGGACAGACACCGTGGAGAACTCGGAGGGCCGAGGTCAAACAAGAAGGACCGAGGGACAAATTCAATCGCGTGGTTCAAGAACAGCTATGCTTCAAAAGAACTCCATCAATCGAACAACTATGGAAAGCTATATGGATGACATGAAGAAAGAACGAACATCCTACTTGTTTGCACAAGATGATGTTTGTCAGTTTCATCTTCCGTTTCCTTGGGCTTGAAAAATATCCCACCATATCCCACCGTTTCAGTGTCCAACCTGTTAGGTCCACTCGGGCCGGAGGGACCTGTCAGTCTGAAAGTCATTAGCTTTCTGTGGTGAGACCATCCGTTGTCAAACGATTTCTGTGGTGAAGCCACCTGAACTCCCCCAGCAGTCGTTGAAAGAACTTTGTTGGCATGAAATCGATGCGGCTTTGGGCTGGGAGGGCTGGTGAAAGACAAATGCCAATCGATCTGGTTGCGTAGGCCTTAAAACGTTATCTTAAAAAACTATATATAAAGAATGAACAACCCACTCACGGTGCAAATTCATCGACGCTCTGACTGGCGCTTCTTCTCCAGCGCTTCAGATGCTTTTGACAGCCACCCCTAAAGCAAATGGACACAAATTCGATCAATCCGAGTTGAACCTATCGGGGACCGGTCAACCCCTTCACTCACTGGGGGATCAGCCCATTTTACAAGGAATGGGCGATACTTGCAAGTAGATCCAACATCGGTTCTTAGCGAAGAAGCTGCTTGAGGGACAAAAGACTGACAAATCAGCTGAATTGTCACGTGCCGTAGAAAAGGGGTCATCTATATATGTATATAGGGTGATGGTTTCTTTGGGTTCCGAAAATCCCTCATATAGTGCAATCGATGCCCAGACCCCTCCAGTGATGTTAGAAAGGGCCCTGGTGACAAATCGAGGGTCCTGGTGAGTGTCTTCAGAACTCTCCCTTGAAGAAATATACCAGAAATTACCAGAAGCTCCTATACCAGAAATTACGAGAAGCTTCTTAGCAACTTAGCAATGTTTAACTTTAGTGTGCAGAATTCTGCCGTGAAGATCCTTGAAGAACCATGATGATCCATCTACCTGTGGACTGGGGACTGTCACCTTCACCGTCCTCCCGGTCACCCGGCGTGGCTCCGGCTCCGACCTTCGTTGCGCCTTAGAGAATTCGGTCATCCGCCGAGAGTGGGGAGATGCCGCGCATGAAGTTCGACCTGAGGCCCGTCTGCTTCGGTCCGATGCGGCACATGGGCTTTCCACCCCATGCGACCACTGGTGGTGGGTCAATGTACTTTGGGTCATGTAAAAGTCCAAGACACGGCATGGGATTGGCATATTTATACCATTGATCCTCTTTCAACCAAGGAAACTGCCTGTGTACACCTCATAAGTGTTTCATTCTTGCTCTGTGTGATTCGACTTGACGCTTTCAGGGCCCAAACATCCTAGATCCTAGAAGAGGGACTTTGCATGGACGGCTTGGGGGGTGCAGCTTGCATGTTTTTTGGTATACACCTGATGTAAAAATGCTATAAAACGTTCCTTCGGCTCATGGTCGAATTGGTGGGAAAACGCTCAGGGGGCATCCTCCTTGGAGTCGGTTGGTCTACGATAATAGGTGGCTGGTGTTGAAGCTTCAGATCTCTACAGGAAGGCGAGAGGTCCAGAGATCCAGTCCAATTCTGCCTGTCTAGAGTGAGTTGATGCGGGATTTCCTCAAGTCCATTCTATCTTGGGTTTTCCAACCTTGAAGAGGAACATGGTCTTTCAGGGGGGTTGAAATCTGTTAAAATGGTCTTCCAGGGGGCCTATGTTCCGCTTCTAAGATGTTAAACTCGGGGAGTGTTAATACTCTTGTACTCAGACCTCGCCAAAAAATCGTTCCACTGTCTAGTCTCACAACCAAGGGCGAAAATATACGTGATGGAAACCTGGGACCCCCCTGGCAAAACCCCAAGGAGTTCATCAGATGGAGGTACAGTGCCAAACTTTCTCTATCAGCAGGGCGTTCATTTCCAAGTGTTTCTCTTGCTCTGTGACACTGGCGAGATACACAACTACAGAAGGCCAAGGAGGTGCTATAGGCCATAGGCTTTTGTCCTTCAACAAATGGACGGAAAGGACTAATTACCCAAATTGCAAAAGAAGCACGCACCACTCAAAAGCTCTTGGCTCATGATTCACTCATGATCGCCAAGCCCTCAGGCAAAACCCCCCCAAAACAACGGACACGCCCACTTGGTTCAATTCCCAGTCACCATCTACCTTGCTGCCGCCCTGGCGGGGCAACCACCCCCCCAAAATACCCTCCTCTTCACACCAGGTGAACCGATTTCCTGCTTCCTGCTCCCTAAATCCTTCTGCTCTAGGCACTTGGGCAGGTCCAGTTTCTCCCCAGGACCTTGGCGGTGTCCTTTCCGCGTGTTGATTTCATCCAGGACCTCGGTCATCTCTCGAAGCTTCACCTGAGGGATGGAAGCGTGAAGAAACGTTCCACAAGAGAGAAACACACACACACACACACGTTGAGTCATGTTGGGACTCAAGTGCCATCCTTGAGAGGACCAAAGAACCTGGCCTGTTCTTTTGAATGGTATCATATATTGAGGCACATAGGCATATATAACGTGTCCCAAAACAGTGAGCAGCAAAGAATTACGAACTGACGAACCTTCCCCATTGCCTTGGCCTTACACTAGTGATGTCCGAACTCTACAGTCTACAGGTCGCCACAAGACACTCCGACCAGGTAATCTCGGTGCTCGCACGAACCGAGTGACGTCGTGGAGCTCCACCCGCTGCGTTCGTGTGACCGAGTGACTCTTGAAGACGGAACGACCGGAGTGACCGTCGTGCGCCAGCAAACCCCTACATATCAACAAAGCCTTTTATGGAGAAAGGCTAGAAAAATAGATGCAACAACTCAGGCTTCCTGGTTCCTGGGACAGACTTATCATATCGAGGTAGGGGGAACAACAGCAATTCGGGCACCTTCTCCTTTTTCCAGTTCCTGAGACCTCTCTCCCACCGGTTTCACAGTTCAACCCACTTCCCGTGTTGAACCACCCAAACACGGAGACCTGTCACTTCCGGAACTGTCTGTGCTAACGTCCCAGTGACCTCCACGTAACTCTGGAATCGCCCCTGAGCTTTGATCAGCCAACGCTGGTCATGGAGCAACTTCCCCAAGTCCACTCCTCGGGCTTGGCCCCGCAGCCTGGCCCCCGCAGGTTGTCCGGTTTATCCGCGGGGGAGTGCGGTGCATCTGAAGGTGGTTTTTGTTGGGCGCGTTTCGGTGGTTTGAATGCGGACAGAAAGGCGTGCTTCGGTGGCGCGGCTTTCTTGAAATAGGCAGAGAGCTCTCCGACAGAGCTCTCCTTTGGGTGAGGGTGAGGGTGCCGAGGGTTTTGGGAGCGGCGACAAACACACAAGAAGTCGCGGAAAACTACACCACAACATGGAGAAAACTCCCCTTGTCTTCATTGAAATTGTCACTTGTGTGGCTTCTTGGCTACTTGAAAGCTGAACATGGCTGTCATCTCAAAGCAGTTGCCATGTTATGGACACGGTCCCCAGCACAAGATCAATGAAACTGGAAACCCGAACAACCAGAAACAAATGTTTGTTCAGTTGTTCCAATATTGTTATATATATGTAATGATATGAACTTATATAAAAACATCCATTGGGTATAACCTATTGCCCGTAACAGTGGATAATGATGGTTAGCAAAGGCCTTTCTCCAAAATAGTCACAATTGTTTACTGACCCTTACAGGTTTCTTGGCACACCCGCTAAATGTTTCTGGTTCTTTGGGTGTCCACTTTCATTATCCTCAATTCAAATTGGGAACTTCGACTCAACAGGGATCCAGCTGAGTCGATTTCCTTCGACCGACTCATGGGAAGCTTGCTGCATTGCTGAGAAGTGGACGCCAGGATGCCTGGAAGCTGTGCTCCAAGGCCGCTGAAGCTTGCAACAAGGCCCAAACAAACAATTGCTTTCCAGCATTCAAGGTGAAAAGGTCCAAAACAGCTAAGACGACTCAACCACCTACAAAAGCTGAACTGTAAATACCAGCCGATGTGCCCCGGTTGGTCGCTCCCGTTCCACCGTTCTTGGTCGCTCCGGACCTCCCCGCGCCCGCCCGGGCGCGTTGCGCGGGGACCGCGCCGGGGCGCCTCAAGCAACCTTTAAAAAATTCCTCGATCTCAACCTTAGAACACTCGTCGTCTCGTAGACATCGGCAGCGCGGACCGCACGGACCATGCAGAACGTACAAGCATCAACAAAGGATTCGGTCGGGACGCTGCTTTCCAAACGCAAAGTTGTTGAAACGCAAGGTCTGAACGCCCAAAACGCTTGAGCTGAGCGATCTAAGATCTCAACGGAGCCGCCCGCGTCCAGGTCCAGCAACTTGAAGAAGGACCATGCATCCCACACGTCCAAGCCTCGTCGGAAGGGCTTCAAGAGCTTGGTGTAAAGCAAAAGAACATCCATACAGCTCTTTTTGGACCCCCAAATGGATAGAAAAGTTGCTCCCATCTCTATATTGGGGATCACTATACTATATAGATAATAGTATCTCTCAAGATGTGACAAGAAACTGCGATGTCGGTGATGTTGAACCACTATATATATATATATATACATCTTCAGGTCTCATTTGAATTGGCAAACCGTGGAAGACCCTACTGCTATGTCGCTCACAATGGCCATGTTGGATCGGGAGAAAAGGTTCGGATTTTGAGACTTGCCAGCAAAGGTCAGGTCTTCTCAGAATTGGAGTCATCCAAGCAGCTAGAACGAGTCTAGTCAGAATTTGATCATCCAGACCCGCATCACAGACTATGATCCAAACAGGTATGGTTATAGACAGTTGAAATATATACAGTAATATGAATATAATATGATCATCCAAACAAGAACAGACGTGAATATGATCATGCAATCAGGTAGACAGAATCTGAGACAAGCCAAATGCATTCAACACCAATCACCAGCCATACCAGGACACCCAGGACCGCCAGGACAGCCATCTAAAGCCCTAAGGAGTGCCTTTCTGGGGGCCAAGGAATGCCCAAATCACTAACTCCTTCAAGTCCAACTGAGGTCATGCTCCAAGTCATCTCCGACTTGTGGCCTCCTGTGCAGAACGTCCTACAAGCCCCCTGTGCATCAGCCCCGGACTCGCTGTTGGCCAAGTTGGCCAAACGAATCTGGCCCGAAATCCCGGACATTCTATGAAAGTAACTGAAATCCCGATCCTTGGAATCTCAAAAGACATTCATAGAAATCCTTAGAATTCCAAGGATCCTCAAAAGAACAGTCGCAGATCCTCCAGTTCCAAATTCCCAAGAAAGCCACTCGTCTCTGGCAGCTCTCGCAATTCACGGGGACCTATATAGTAATTCAGGAAAAAAATCATCTAAGTCCAAATATAAAAAATCCATGTTCGATCTAAATCCATGTTCATCTAAGTATATTATAAAAAATCATTTTTATTGTATAATTATATCTAAATCCAAGTTCGCTTGGACGAGTCATGTTCAGACTTGGGTCAATACTTCAAGTAAGGTGCCAAGGGTGTCGAAGTATTCGGTCACCGCTGGACTTTGAAGGCCTTCCTGAGCATTTCGACCGGAGCTCAGGCGCGCGCAGAAGGGGATGAGGCGCTAATCCCCTCTTGTTGCCTCATCTCTTTGCATAGAGTTTAGCCAATCCCTTTCAGTATTAAACCTCTGACGTTTTCTGTTGACACATCTAATCTAACTACAGTAGTAGGATTTGTCAACCTTCCAAGGAATAAAGGGGTTTCCCCTAGTGGCACCTGGAGTTTCTACAGGTTTAGTTCCTCTGTTCGATTGCCTTTCCAGCTCTCCGGAGGCATAGGTTCGGTGGATGCAGCACATGCCAACCTTTGTTCAATCATCAATAGCTAACCATCCGTCCTGCAAAAACAAAACTTGGAACCGGAAAGTAGTGACACGCGAGGGACACCCGGGTGCCTTCAAGGTCCATTTTCTCAGGGGCGTCTACTTGGTAAATCTGCCTCTGCACCGTTCTATTTGGATTGTCAGCAGAAGTGGAGGCCTGCACAAACAAGGCCTGAACAAAAAAATATGCGTTTAGGTAAGCATGTCCATCACCCTTATAGATCCTTATAGTACTATGTGTGAAGTGAATAGACAGTTTAAAACCAACTAAAACCAAGAGATGTTGAACATCCTTTTGGTCATTTTGTTGACTCTGCATCGGGTAGTACAATGCGGAATGTGGGGCCCCGAGATTCCTTTGCTCAAGACCTCCGAGTCGGGAGCCGCTCATCCATCCAAAATCGAACACTTGAGAGGGAAAAACAATTGAACACTCACTGTCACTTATAAGTAGTAGAAGGCAATCTTAAATGTCAAATGTTCCAAAACTAATGTCAAGAGAATCAGACCAACAAAAGCCTGAACTTTTTGAAATGTCACAGAAACTGTCACAGAATATCTATAGCCACGGCCGTTATTCCTACTCCGACCACCGACACTCCAAGCATCTTCGAACATGCCGTAGGTGATAACCCCTGTCTTGTCGGCACCCAACCGGCTGAACAGCTGCTTGATCTTCTCCACATGTGCCTCGCCCGTCGAACGGAACCGTCGAACGACTTCGGGGCGCCTTCGTACGGTACAGGAGGTGGCGCTAAATTTGCACTACAGTATGTCATGTATGCTTTGAGGTTCTATCTTATACCGATAGCGGGTTATGTAGCTTTAGACATTAAATAATACCAACCCCTGAAAGCTATAGCTGAAACGCATACACCGACAAAACTTGCTGTACTGGACCAGGACCCGATCCGTTCCACTTGTGTGTTGCTCAAGTTGGATCCACCCAGTGACCAGGAGACCCTCCAGACAGAGTAGTCTATACCCTAGTCTAGACTAGGACGTCTCCCTACCTCCAATACACACCCATGTACGATCTGTGTCTACCTCTTGGAGATGAAGAACTTCCAGTTCAACATCCAAGAAACGCCCTGGAATTCACTCAAGTCAAATGGTAGGATACTGGCCACCACCATGGAGTCGCGAAGTTGAAAAACAGAGCCACGATCTCGCATGGATTCCTGTTGGTTGTTAAGGAGACAGAGACCAAAAATGATTCTTGAGTTCAAGAGTATATTGCAGATTCCCCTGGAAAAGCATCAACATGTGAAGTGGCTGGGGATCAGTAAAGTGTTGGATTGGTTCTTTTTTGCCCGCACCTACACACCGCACCTCCTTGTTCGCCAGCATGGACTGAACCACGTTTGCGTGGTCGTTCTGCGCACTGTCGATGGCAGATTGACAAAAGACTCCTCCCAGCGGCGCTGATGTCTGACAACACGTGACGTGCAACAGACATGTCCTAGTAGCTTCTTGTTCCTAGTAGCTACTTGGCCCTAGTAGTACGGCCAGGAGCCCCGAACGTAGCTTCTTGTCCCCAGACTTCACACGTCTGGTCTGGTGTCGCACGTTTCGTGGTGCCAACATGTGTCGCAAGCGCTGGTCGGATCGCGTCCGCGAGCTTGGGTAGTTCGCATGCGCTCATCCCGTGGAAACCGTATCACCCGAAAAAAGACCTTCTTGGTGTGCTGAGATGGGACTGCTGGGCACATGGTTTAGAGCAAAGATGAGTGTGTGTCTTAGCCGGATTTGCAAGTTCACGGGTCGATCGCTTGCAAATTCCCTTCGCACAATGGAAGCTAAGCTACGGCCCATCCAATCCATGTCAGTTGTTGAACGACCACCGCAGTCTCCTTGTTGAAATCACACGAGACTATGTTGAAATGCCCGGGAGCCAACTGCCCCCGTCCCATTTGATCGACGCCGATATCTTTACAACTTCCACAGGGCGGAACAGGGCGGTAACAGCGATCTCCAACGGCTTGACCGCTTGCGATCACCAACGGGATCCAAAATCGGACACCACAGGAGCGTGGATGGTAGATGTCCTTTCCAACCAAACTTCAATCCGATGTATGATACATCTTTCCATATGGCACACATCTGACGTTCTAAGAGTTTTGGAAACAACGGGGCCTCGATCTATGCAATTGATTGGTTTTGGATGATGCAGTCTGCACATGCTTGCGGTGTCCTGTGACAACATTGAGCACCGCGAAGTAAGTGAACGATATCTGGCATCGCATCATCGACATCATCGAGTTTGGTATGAGGAAGATTTCTTCCAAGACTGGAAGGTCAGTGGGTCAAAGAGTCAAAGCTCTTCTTGCATTCGATGTTGATGATAAGCATGTTATGGGTTATTGGGCATTTTGGAGCGAACATTACCAGTGTTGTGATTGATTTATCTCCACTTGAAACTTGTCTTGCCTTGAGGCTAGTGATGGCTAGCCATCGTCAAACAAACCGCCGCTGGTACACTAGCCAGAGTGATCCTTTTCCCCTCCTTCTACCATCAGCAGGTCTGGTTTAGTGGTGGCTTTGTTCAAAGTCCACCACAGGAAGTGTATACCGATCTTCATCCTGAAGGAAACTTTGAATAGTCCTCATCGCACAATTTCCTCAGCGGTGAATAGAATTTTCATGACCTTTTCCCTTCCAAACAAGTCAAACAAAAACAACACGGTTTCCGAAAATTGATCTTTTCCGTGTGCAGCTCTAGAGCTGTGCCATAGTCAGTCTCTCCCATCAATCTCGTGCCACCCACAAAGAACAAAACCCAACTAACGCGAAGCCGCAAAATTCCAAAACTCCCACAGCAAAAATGACAAATCAAAAACAAGAACATGCCAATTGGAGCAAGATCATAAAACATCCTAAAACATGTGGCAAAGAGGGATAAAAGAACGAAGAACCCGGGTCAAGTGCTGGGGGCGGTGCGTAGCCCACATAGACAAAGACCCAGAGGTAGGAGATGATCCTCAAAGGCGCAATGACCTCTTCCCAGCTGACGCCACCTGTGAGCGGCCGAGCCGAGCCGGGCAGAAGCTGCTTAGCCTGGTTTTCCTGATCTTAGAAAGAGAAAAGTGTCGGATGAGGTTCGGCTTTCCCCTGTTCTGTATTTGAAACATGTGAAGAACATGTCATTTTTTGGGTGACGGAAAACAGATCAAATGACAATACCTCCCAATTTGGTTTCCTGAGATTTCCACAAAAAAAAACTCCTCTATCAGCGCCCCCGGACCTACCGCAACGTCGTGCCGCCATAAATGTTTAGCCTCCAAAGAGATTGGGATTGATATGGTTTGAATGCTGTCGCCACAAGTGGGGGCTCTTTGGCTTCAATAAACTGAACCATTGCTCTTCGGCTCTTCGTTCGTCCTACCGAACACCCTGAACAAAAAACCCTCCTAAATCCAAAGGCCACGACGTTTGTTGGTGGACCACGCATGTTTGTTTGGTATCATGTTACCGTGGACATCGCTTCTGCTTCGGAGAGGTCCGAGACTCGGGAGTTGGGGCGGACACATGGAAAAAGGGCTCGCAAACTTCTGCAAGGACAAGCTTCTTGAACATCCTTGAACAACAAAGACAACAAATTTGCAAGTACACAACATGTTGGTTCTCCTTCATATGTATCTTCTGATCCCCTCAGTGTTCATGACAATGGAGCTCCACCTGCCAGCCCTATTGAAGCGTTTTGTTATACTTAAATTGTTTACCAAGTGCCAAGCCCCCGTACAAGGTTGGCTTGTTCGGGTTCGCCCAGAGCATGGGTGCGAAATGATCTTCCGGTGGCCTCGCCTGAGATACTCATGAAGAGAGTCAGCATGGTGTGAGGTAAAGAAGCAAAGTACCTCGTCACAGCCTCAATGCAGCTGGGCAGGATGGTAGGGGCAAACACGCGATTGGTCACTTTTTGATGGGAAAAGGACAGCATTATTGAAGTATGCTTCAGGGCCCTGCTTCTTGGCATGTCTGGATTTTGTGAGGAGAGGGAAGGACACCCCAACAAAAACAAACGTGGTGGAACCGGGTCGTGTAAAACCATGCAACGATTACTTCAGGTCCATGCAAATCCATTCAACCGACCAACAAGTTCACAAAAAACAAGATGGAACCCACGAACCCGAATGCAAACACGATCGAAAAACTAATATGTCCAAAGGACACTCTTGTAGGACACTCTTGCGGGACACTCTGTAGGACACTCTTGTGGGCCACTCTTGTAGGAAACTCTTGTGGGACACTCTTGTAGGACACTCTTGTGGGACAC